CAAATCTTCAGTGACCATAAGAGCCTGAAGTATTTATTTGATCAAAAAGAGCTTAATATGAGGCAGCAGCGACGATGGATGGAATTTCTGAAGGATTATGACTTTGAATTACATTACCATCCGGGTAAGGCTAACGTGGTAGCTGACGCCTTAAGTAGAAAGACTATTCATGCTGCACATTTGATGGTTCATGAATATCATTTGTGGAACAGTTTTCATGATGTTCCAGTAGATGTGATTGAACATCAAATGGCCGCACTCCAAGTAGCAGACTTTGAGAGCAATTCTGGGAAGATCTCAGTCTCACAGCAGAGTGATGACTACTTAAGGAATATAAGGAAGGAGATAGTGGTAGGTAAGGCCCCAAATTTTACCATCTCTGAGGACACAGTGATGAAGTATAAAGGTAGAGTTTGTGTACCTAATGATCCAAGATTGAGGAATATCCTTTTAGAAGAAGCTCATAGGAGCAAATATACAATTCATCCCGGTATAACTAAAATGTACCATGATTTGAAGCGAGGTTGGTGGTGGCCAGGAATGAAAAAGATGTAACTGAATTTGTTTCTTAGATGTTTAACGTGTCAGAAGATAAAGATAGAACATCAGAAGCCAGCTGGAACACTGCAACCGTTAGATATTCCAAAGTGGAAATGGGATGATATTTCCATGGATTTCATCACTGGACTGCCAAGAACACCCTCGAGTAAGGATGCTATTTGGGTGATAGTAGACCGACTCACCAAATCAGCTCACTTTTTGGCGATCAAGTTTACCTCTACATTAGAGAAATTTGCTGAGATATACATTAAGGAGATAGTTAGACTTCATGGTATACCCTCTAGAATTGTGTCAGATCGTGACCCAAGGTTCACTTCAAACTTTTGGGGTGCGCTACAGAAGGCTATGGGTACCAGACTGAGTTTTAGCACCGCATACCACCCCCAAACAGATGGACAAACAGAGAGGACGATCCAGACTTTGGAGGACATGTTGAGAGCTTGTGCCATTGAACTACCAGGTAGTTGGGATAATCATTTGCCATTAGCTGAATTTGCTTATAATAACAGCTATCATTCTAGTATTGGGATGGCGCCTTATGAGGCCTTGTATGGAAGGAAGTGTAGATCGCTTTATGTTGGACAGAATTAAGTGAGAGGAGTATCATTGGTCCAGAAATTGTAGAGCAGACCACCCAGAAGATTGCAATGATTAAGCAAAAATTGCTAACCGCTCAGAGCCGACAGAAGAGCTATGCTGATAAGAGGAGACGGCCGTTAGAGTTTGAAGTAGGAGATCATGTATTTTGAAGGTTTCTCCAGTGACAGGCATTGGTAGATCCATTAAGGCAAAGAAATTGACACCTAGATTTATGGGCCCGTATGAGATCTTGGAGCGAATTGGATCTACTGCATATAGAGTTGCATTAACCCACCTCCACAGATTGCAGGTATCCATAATGTGTTCCACGTATCACAGTTGAAGAAGTCAAACCCGGATCCCTCCCATGTTATTGAACCTGAAGAGTAGAATTGAGGGAGAATTTGACCTTTAGATCCGAACCGGAGCGAATTGAGGACTTTAAGGACAAACACTACAATAAGAAAAGACCATCCGACTCGTGAAGGTGATTTGGAAGGGTGGAGCCCTAGGTGATGCTACTTGGGAGAACTGAGGAGAGTTGAGGCGAGATTATCCACATTTAAGTTGCTTAGGTACATAGTTCTAAGCTTATCTATTAAATTTTGAGGAAAAATTTCTAAAAGGAGGGGAGAATGTAACATCCTGATTTTTATATAATAAAGAAATTGTGGAATTTAGGTTTTGAGGAAAAAAAATGATAATAATAGGAATTTATATTATTTGAGGTTATTTAGAAATAATATTATGATTAGGTATTTAATTATGAATTTAAAAATTTAAATTTAAAACCACATAAGCAATATTTAGTTAAGATATAATACATAAATAATTTTTTTTATGTGTGTGTTAAAAAAAAAAGAGAAGGTAGAAGGAACAAAAAAAAGGGGGGGTGGAAGGTTGTTGTTTCTAAGTCCCACATTGGTTAGATGAGGGAAGAGAAGAGGTGCCTTCATGTATAAAAAGGAGGGGGTGTGTGCATTAGGAAGCATGAGAGGCTAAGATGCAATTTAGAGAAAATTGCAACTTTGGGCCCAAAGGTTTGAATAATTAAATTCAAACCTATAGTTTTTTTTTAATATAATTTTGGGACTCACAATCCCATTTTTATATTATTTTTCTCTCTTCCTCTCACGTTGCTCGGCGTTTTCTCGCAAGGGGGGATTATTTTCTTTTTCTTCAGGTATGTTCTAACTTTCCTGTTTAGATTAGCATTTAAAAATTTATTTAATTACAAAATTAATTTTATAGTTATTTTCTAAATAATATTAGCTTTCTAGTGATATGATTATTTTGTAGGATAGAGTAAATATTTTGATTAGGATTTTTCTATAGGATAGTTAATCTGATGATATGATGGATTAAAAATATAGGTTAAAATTCTTAGGGATATAATAAATATTATAGAATATTTTCTTGAGGTTGAAACTCATGTTTAAGAATTTTTGAGTTAAAATCTAGATCTATATGGTTGAATTTATGTGGAATCTGAGATGTAGGGATAAACCTATGATTATTAAATATTTATTTAAGTATGAATAGGTATTTTTGAGGTTATAGAAAGGTGATTTGAGGCTTCAGGATAATTCTAAAATTTTTAATTTATTTTTGGATGAATTTTTAGAATGTAGAAGGATGAAATTGTGATACTAGAAGTGAATTGAGGATAAAAAAAAATAGTTCATTAGGGTACGAGAATTTTAGAAAAGAATTTGGGAAGTTAAATGAGGCATAAATCTTAAATTAGTGTTAATATGGACTATAGATTTAAGACTTTCTAACTCTTTAAATTAGAGTTATTTATTTTAATGTAAAATTAATATATAGTATTGTGAAATAATTATGTAGATTATATTGACAAAGATAGTGGTGAAAAAGGAGTTGTGAAGGGGAACTTGTTATTCAAGACACAAGGTAACCATTATTAATGTGTTGTGATGAGTGTGTTTGTGAATGGTTATGTGTTGTTTTGTTGTTTGGAAAAATTATGAATTATTGAAAATAAATACTGTATATACTTGTTTGAAATTATTGCCAAGTGGGTTAAAAATTTATTTTTGTTTATCATGATGAGATATTATTGTTCGGATATATTCCTGTTTGGATATTTGAATGATGCATGACTTGTCAGGGTATTTTAATGTATGGTGTTAATGGGAATTTCTGTTCGGTTAATTATTACCACGTGGTAAGCCCTCATTGGACCCAATGAGTGGCGTGTCGCTTGGTCCAACTCACCTTTGGCCGGGTGATTTGGCGTCCGAGCATGGTGAAAGGAGGATATAAGGTGCAGTCATGCAATTAAATACTTGTTCGGTTTGTTTGAAAATATTGTTCGGTTAAATGTTTTGTGTGCCCACTTAGCAATCGCATGATTAGTTACATCCGCATGCATCATTACATATTAATTTTTGGTTACTGGGACTTTTAAGTCTCATTCCCCGTGGTTAATATTTTTACAGGAGCGAATCCGGCCGAGAAAGCACCAGAGGTGTAATTATGGTGTATGAGACACCATCTTTTACGTTGCCTCTTATTTTGGATTATACAATGTATCTTGTGCCAACTTAGGACATATCTTGTCTATGGAGCATGTAAACTCTAATCCTTTTTATTAAATGCATTTATATGTCCAAGAGGATTATGTCTGTCCCTTTTGATTCATGACCTAATTTAAATAACATGCTATGAGGATCATGTCTGTCCCTCATGGTTCTAATTGCTTTTTGAGATATTTTAAGACCTGTGGTATATTGTCTTGGATGTATCATGGTAGAAATTTTTCTACCATGATAAGGGTATGATAAGGGTTCAATGAAAAAAAAAATGATTTCTTGAATTAATAACTTGCGAAAAATCGGTTTGTAAATTTGAGGGTGTTACATATTGGTATCAGAGCATATAGTCGGTTGGCAATATACATTGTTATGGTGCTTCTCATTGTATGGCCATGATATAGCTAGGCTAATTTTATTATTTATATCTTGTATCCTTTAGGAGGGGAGAGAAAATGCCTGTTACTCGTGGTAACTCAGGATTCCAACATGAGCACCTGCCACCGCCACTGCCAAATGAGGAGCCTGACTTGGCGGAATTAAGAATGCTTGTAAAAACATTAACAGACAAGGTTCAAGGATACGAACAAGAGTTGACGGAGCTAAAGAGGCAAAAGGTAACTGAAAATGGAGATAGGGCTCATGTTGAGAGTCATGTGGGGGAAGGCAGTTCCTCACATCCTGCCACTCTGAGAGATCATGAGTCTAGAAGGAAAGAAATTAGGCAGGAGGAACAGAGAGCCCCACCGACCATTACTGATGTGTGGGAAACTGTTAGGAAGTTTAACCCTCCTACGTTTGATGGTAACCTTAAACCATCCGTGGTAGAGGAATGGGTGAAGAGACTCGAATCCATCTTTCGAGTAGTCACATGCACCAGCAATCAAAAAGTACAAGTAGCATTAGTGCTCCTAGTGAAAGGAGCAAGAGATTGGTGGGAGACAGCAGGGCCCAGGGATGATTCTACACTCACCTGGGAGGAATTCAAGGAAAAATTATTCAGGCATTACTTTCCATCAGAGTTAAGGTCTGAGAAGGAAGCGGAATTCCATGCCTTTAAGCAAGGGAACCTCGATGAGGACACATTCATTGCTAAGTTTCAGGAGTTATCTAGATACTCCACGTACCTGCAGTATAGGGATGATTCCGAATGGAAGGCTAAGCGCTTATTGGAGAAGGCTAGACCAGAATTGAGGGAACAATTGGCTCATCTAGATATCCGAGATTATGATGAAATGTGCATAAAACTACAAGTAGTAGCTCGCAGTAAGAAGGAGGTTGAGAGAGAGAAGAGGGGTTATTCATATAGTAGACCCCCAACCTACCCTCGACCCACCGGAGGCATTATGAAGAAAAACCATCAGGGTTCGAGTAGCTCATGGAACCAAGGAAGGCAGAAGGGTCCATTTCAAAGGGGCCAAGGACAGAGGAGCTATCATAGTAGTTATCACGGGTCACAGAGGAGCCCAACAGTATCTACCCCTGCCCCGAGTACAGCGAGCTCTCAACAGTGCACTAAATGCGGGCGTCGTCATTTCGGACAGTGCTGGGTCTGTTACATTTGTGGGAAACCCGGTCACATTGCAAAGTTTTGTGGGGACAACCAGGGCTCAAATATGAAGAACCCTTCCCAACATCCTACTGTCTCTGGTCGTGTGTTTGCTCTTACTCAGGACACCATGAACTCCCCAGATGCCATTAGAGGTAACATCAAAATCCTTCATCATGATATTGTTGCACTATTTGATTCGGGTGCTACACACTCTTTTATTTCTGAAACTTGTGTAAAGAACCTTGATTTGCCTGTGTGTATTTTACCTTTTGATATGAATGTGTCTACTCCTGCGGGAGAATCTGTGAGGACCGCTAAGGCATGCCTTAACCTAGTAGTCGAGTTTAAAAATAGGAAAACAACTATGGACTTAATTATCCTACCACTGAGAGGTATGGATGTAATTGTGGGAATGAATTGGATGGCTGCAAATGGTGCTATCCTAGATTGTAGAGAGAGGAGTGTGTCTTTATCTTCTTTGTCGGTGACCCCAGTCGAGACTCAAGATCATGTTTTCTTGTCGGCGGCGCAAGTTGATAGATGTATGAAGAAGGGTTGCCAGGCCTACATGGTTTTCTTCTCTATCCAAGCTGAGATTGATGAAGGCGTGAAGAATATCCCAATTGTCAAAGAATTTGCGGATGTATTTCCAGACGAAGTCTCCGGTTTACCCCCAAAGCGCGAGGTAGAGTTCTCAATTGAATTGGTACCCGGTACAGGGCCAATTTCTAAGGCTCCTTATCGGATGTCCCCTTCAGAGTTAGCGGAACTGAAAAAGCAAATTGAAGAGCTACTTGAGAAGGGTTTCATCAGACCGAGTGTTTCACCTTGGGGATCTCCAGTCCTTTTTGTAAAGAAGAAGGACGGAAGCCTCCGATTGTGCATTGATTATAGACAATTGAACAAAGTAACCATCAAGAACAAATATCCACTTCCGAGAATCGATGATTTGCTGGATCAGCTTGTGGGATCCGCAGTTTTCTCAAAGATTGACTTAAGGTCAGGGTACCACCAATTGAGAGTGAGAGCAGAGGATATACCTAAGACAGCATTTCGGACGAGATATGGGCATTATGAATTCATGGTGATGCCGTTTGGACTTACGAATGCTCCTGCGGTATTCATGGATTACATGAATAGGATCTTTCGACCCTATTTAGATAAGTTTGTAGTAGTGTTTATTGATGACATTCTTATTTATTCAAAGGATGAGGAGGCTCATGGTGAACATTTAAGAATCGTCTTGCAAGTTTTGAGGGAACATAAGCTTTATGCCAAATTAAGCAAGTGTGAATTTTGGCTCCAAGAAGTAAAGTTTTTGGGCCATGTTGTGTCCAGAGATGGAGTTGCGGTGGATCCTAGCAAGATTGATGCAGTGATGAAGTGGGAACAGCCAAAATCTGTTACAGAGATACGAAGCTTTTTAGGTTTAGCAGGTTATTATCGTCGCTTTATTAAGGGATTTTCGCAAATTGCGATGCCCTTAACTAAGCTGACTAAGAAGGATGCCCCATTTATTTGGACTGACAAATGTGAAGCTGCTTTCCAAGAATTGAAAAAGAGGTTAACCACTACTCCAGTATTGACTATTCCTGACCCTGTGGTGCCGTACACTCTGTACACTGATGCTTCTTTAAAGGGTTTAGGATGTGTTTTGATGCAAAATGACCGAGTGGTTGCCTATTCCTCCAGACAGTTGAGACCACACGAGGAAAATTACCCTACTCATGATTTGGAGTTAGCTGCAGTTGTGTTTGCTCTGAAGATATGGAGACACTACTTGTATGGATCTAAGTTTCAAATCTTCAGTGACCATAAGAGCCTGAAGTATTTATTTGATCAAAAAGAGCTTAATATGAGGCAGCGACGATGGATGGAATTTCTAAAGGATTATGACTTTGAATTACATTACCATCCGGGTAAGGCTAACGTGGTAGCTGATGCCTTAAGTAGAAAGACTATTCATGCTGCACATTTGATGGTTCATGAATATCATTTATGGAACAGTTTTCATGATGTTCCAGTAGATGTGATTGAACATCAAATGGCCGCACTCCAGGTAGCAGACTTTGAGAGCAAATTCTGGGAAGATCTCAGAGTCTCACAGCAGAGTGATGACTACTTAAGGAATATAAGGAAGGAGATAGTGGTAGGTAAGGCCCCAAATTTTACCATCTCTGAGGACACAGTGATGAAGTATAAAGGTAGAGTTTGTGTACCTAATGATCCAAGATTGAGGAATATCCTTTTAGAAGAAGCTCATAGGAGCAAATATACAATTCATCCCGGTATAACTAAAATGTACCATGATTTGAAGCGAGGTTGGTGGTGGCCAGGAATGAAGAAAGATGTAACTGAATTTGTTTCTAGATGTTTAACGTGTCAGAAGATAAAGATAGAACATCAGAAGCCAGCTGGAACACTGCAACCGTTAGATATTCCAAAGTGGAAATGGGATGATATTTCTATGGATTTCATCACTGGACTGCCAAGAACACCCTCGAGTAAGGATGCTATTTGGGTGATAGTAGACCGACTCACCAAATCAGCTCACTTTTTGGCGATCAAGTTTACCTCTACATTAGAGAAATTTGCTGAGATATACATTAAGGAGATAGTTAGACTTCATGGTATACCCTCTAGAATTGTGTCAGATCGTGACCCAAGGTTCACTTCAAACTTTTGGGGTGCGCTACAGAAGGCTATGGGTACCAGACTGAGTTTTAGCACCGCATACCACCCCCAAACAGATGGACAAACAGAGAGGACGATCCAGACTTTGGAGGACATGTTGAGAGCTTGTGCCATTGAACTACCAGGTAGTTGGGATAATCATTTGCCATTAGCTGAATTTGCTTATAATAACAGCTATCATTCTAGTATTGGGATGGCGCCTTATGAGGCCTTGTATGGAAGGAAGTGTAGATCGCCTTTATGTTGGACAGAATTAAGTGAGAGGAGTATCATTGGTCCAGAAATTGTAGAGCAGACCACCCAGAAGATTGCAATGATTAAGCAAAAATTGCTAACCGCTCAGAGCCGACAGAAGAGCTATGCTGATAAGAGGAGACGGCCGTTAGAGTTTGAAGTAGGAGATCATGTATTTTTGAAGGTTTCTCCAGTGACAGGCATTGGTAGATCCATTAAGGCAAAGAAATTGACACCTAGATTTATGGGCCCGTATGAGATCTTGGAGCGAATTGGATCTACTGCATATAGAGTTGCATTACCTCCACAGATTGCAGGTATCCATAATGTGTTCCACGTATCACAGTTGAAGAAGTACAACCCGGATCCCTCCCATGTTATTGAACCTGAAGAAGTAGAATTGAGGGAGAATTTGACCTTTAGATCCGAACCGGAGCGAATTGAGGACTTTAAGGACAAACAACTACGCAATAAGACCATCCGACTCGTGAAGGTGATTTGGAAGGGTGGAGCCCTAGGTGATGCTACTTGGGAGACCGAGGAGAGTATGAGGCGAGATTATCCACATTTATTTGCTTAGGTACATAGTTTCTAAGCTTATCTATTAAATTTTGAGGACAAAATTTCTAAAAGGAGGGGAGAATTGTAACATCCTGATTTTTATATAATAAAGAAATTGTGGAATTTAGGTTTTGAGGAAAAAAAATGATAATAATAGGAATTTATATTATTTGAGGTTATTTAGAAATAATATTATGATTAGGTATTTAATTATGAATTTAAAAATTTAAATTTAAAACCACATAAGCAATATTTAGTTAAGATATAATACATAAATAATTTTTTTTATGTGTGTGTTAAAAAAAAAAGAGAAGGTAGAAGGAACAAAAAAAAGGGGGGGTGGAAGGTTGTTGTTTCTAAGTCCCACATTGGTTAGATGAGGGAAGAGAAGAGGTGCCTTCATGTATAAAAAGGAGGGGGTGTGTGCATTAGGAAGCATGAGAGGCTAAGATGCAATTTAGAGAAAATTGCAACTTTGGGCCCAAAGGTTTGAATAATTAAATTCAAACCTATAGTTTTTTTTTAATATAATTTTGGGACTCACAATCCCATTTTTATATTATTTTTCTCTCTTCCTCTCACGTTGCTCGGCGTTTTCTCGCAAGGGGGGATTATTTTCTTTTTCTTCAGGTATGTTCTAACTTTCCTGTTTAGATTAGCATTTAAAAATTTATTTAATTACAAAATTAATTTTATAGTTATTTTCTAAATAATATTAGCTTTCTAGTGATATGATTATTTTGTAGGATAGAGTAAATATTTTGATTAGGATTTTTCTATAGGATAGTTAATCTGATGATATGATGGATTAAAAATATAGGTTAAAATTCTTAGGGATATAATAAATATTATAGAATATTTTCTTGAGGTTGAAACTCATGTTTAAGAATTTTTGAGTTAAAATCTAGATCTATATGGTTGAATTTATGTGGAATCTGAGATGTAGGGATAAACCTATGATTATTAAATATTTATTTAAGTATGAATAGGTATTTTTGAGGTTATAGAAAGGTGATTTGAGGCTTCAGGATAATTCTAAAATTTTTAATTTATTTTTGGATGAATTTTTAGAATGTAGAAGGATGAAATTGTGATACTAGAAGTGAATTGAGGATAAAAAAAAATAGTTCATTAGGGTACGAGAATTTTAGAAAAGAATTTGGGAAGTTAAATGAGGCATAAATCTTAAATTAGTGTTAATATGGACTATAGATTTAAGACTTTCTAACTCTTTAAATTAGAGTTATTTATTTTAATGTAAAATTAATATATAGTATTGTGAAATAATTATGTAGATTATATTGACAAAGATAGTGGTGAAAAAGGAGTTGTGAAGGGGAACTTGTTATTCAAGACACAAGGTAACCATTATTAATGTGTTGTGATGAGTGTGTTTGTGAATGGTTATGTGTTGTTTTGTTGTTTGGAAAAATTATGAATTATTGAAAATAAATACTGTATATACTTGTTTGAAATTATTGCCAAGTGGGTTAAAAATTTATTTTTGTTTATCATGATGAGATATTATTGTTCGGATATATTCCTGTTTGGATATTTGAATGATGCATGACTTGTCAGGGTATTTTAATGTATGGTGTTAATGGGAATTTCTGTTCGGTTAATTATTACCACGTGGTAAGCCCTCATTGGACCCAATGAGTGGCGTGTCGCTTGGTCCAACTCACCTTTGGCCGGGTGATTTGGCGTCCGAGCATGGTGAAAGGAGGATATAAGGTGCAGTCATGCAATTAAATACTTGTTCGGTTTGTTTGAAAATATTGTTCGGTTAAATGTTTTGTGTGCCCACTTAGCAATCGCATGATTAGTTACATCCGCATGCATCATTACATATTAATTTTTGGTTACTGGGACTTTTAAGTCTCATTCCCCGTGGTTAATATTTTTACAGGAGCGAATCCGGCCGAGAAAGCACCAGAGGTGTAATTATGGTGTATGAGACACCATCTTTTACGTTGCCTCTTATTTTGGATTATACAATGTATCTTGTGCCAACTTAGGACATATCTTGTCTATGGAGCATGTAAACTCTAATCCTTTTTATTAAATGCATTTATATGTCCAAGAGGATTATGTCTGTCCCTTTTGATTCATGACCTAATTTAAATAACATGCTATGAGGATCATGTCTGTCCCTCATGGTTCTAATTGCTTTTTGAGATATTTTAAGACCTGTGGTATATTGTCTTGGATGTATCATGGTAGAAATTTTTCTACCATGATAAGGGTATGATAAGGGTTCAATGAAAAAAAAAATGATTTCTTGAATTAATAACTTGCGAAAAATCGGTTTGTAAATTTGAGGGTGTTACATATTGGTATCAGAGCATATAGTCGGTTGGCAATATACATTGTTATGGTGCTTCTCATTGTATGGCCATGATATAGCTAGGCTAATTTTATTATTTATATCTTGTATCCTTTAGGAGGGGAGAGAAAATGCCTGTTACTCGTGGTAACTCAGGATTCCAACATGAGCACCTGCCACCGCCACTGCCAAATGAGGAGCCTGACTTGGCGGAATTAAGAATGCTTGTAAAAACATTAACAGACAAGGTTCAAGGATACGAACAAGAGTTGACGGAGCTAAAGAGGCAAAAGGTAACTGAAAATGGAGATAGGGCTCATGTTGAGAGTCATGTGGGGGAAGGCAGTTCCTCACATCCTGCCACTCTGAGAGATCATGAGTCTAGAAGGAAAGAAATTAGGCAGGAGGAACAGAGAGCCCCACCGACCATTACTGATGTGTGGGAAACTGTTAGGAAGTTTAACCCTCCTACGTTTGATGGTAACCTTAAACCATCCGTGGTAGAGGAATGGGTGAAGAGACTCGAATCCATCTTTCGAGTAGTCACATGCACCAGCAATCAAAAAGTACAAGTAGCATTAGTGCTCCTAGTGAAAGGAGCAAGAGATTGGTGGGAGACAGCAGGGCCCAGGGATGATTCTACACTCACCTGGGAGGAATTCAAGGAAAAATTATTCAGGCATTACTTTCCATCAGAGTTAAGGTCTGAGAAGGAAGCGGAATTCCATGCCTTTAAGCAAGGGAACCTCGATGAGGACACATTCATTGCTAAGTTTCAGGAGTTATCTAGATACTCCACGTACCTGCAGTATAGGGATGATTCCGAATGGAAGGCTAAGCGCTTATTGGAGAAGGCTAGACCAGAATTGAGGGAACAATTGGCTCATCTAGATATCCGAGATTATGATGAAATGTGCATAAAACTACAAGTAGTAGCTCGCAGTAAGAAGGAGGTTGAGAGAGAGAAGAGGGGTTATTCATATAGTAGACCCCCAACCTACCCTCGACCACCGGAGGCATTATGAAGAAAAACCATCAGGGTTCGAGTAGCTCATGGAACCAAGGAAGGCAGAAGGGTCCATTTCAAAGGGGCCAAGGACAGAGGAGCTATCATAGTAGTTATTACGGGTCACAGAGGAGCCCAACAGTATCTACCCCTGCCCCGAGTACAGCGAGCTCTCAACAGTGCACTAAATGCGGGCGTCGTCATTTCGGACAGTGCTGGATCTGTTACATTTGTGGGAAACCCGGTCACATTGCAAAGTTTTGTGGGGACAACCAGGGCTCAAATATGAAGAACCCTTCCCAACATCCTACTGTCTCTGGTCGTGTGTTTGCTCTTACTCAGGACACCATGAACTCCCCAGATGCCATTAGAGGTAACATCAAAATCCTTCATCATGATATTGTTGCACTATTTGATTCGGGTGCTACACACTCTTTTATTTCTGAAACTTGTGTAAAGAACCTTGATTTGCCTGTGTGTATTTTACCGTTTGATATGAATGTGTCTACTCCTGCGGGAGAATCTGTGAGGACCGCTAAGGCATGCCTTAACCTAGTAGTCGAGTTTAAAAATAGGAAAACAACTATGGACTTAATTATCCTACCACTGAGAGGTATGGATGTAATTGTGGGAATGAATTGGATGGCTGCAAATGGTGCTATCCTAGATTGTAGAGAGAGGAGTGTGTCTTTATCTTCTTTGTCGGTGACCCCAGTCGAGACTCAAGATCATGTTTTCTTGTCGGCGGCGCAAGTTGATAGATGTATGAAGAAGGGTTGCCAGGCCTACATGGTTTTCTTCTCTATCCAAGCTGAGATTGATGAAGGCGTGAAGAATATCCCAATTGTCAAAGAATTTGCGGATGTATTTCCAGACGAAGTCTCCGGTTTACCCCTAAAGCGCGAGGTAGAGTTCTCAATTGAATTGGTACCCGGTACAGGGCCAATTTCTAAGGCTCCTTATCGGATGTCCCCTTCAGAGTTAGCGGAACTGAAAAAGCAAATCGAAGAGCTACTTGAGAAGGGTTTCATCAGACCGAGTGTTTCACCTTGGGGATCTCCAGTCCTTTTTGTAAAGAAGAAGGACGGAAGCCTCCGATTGTGCATTGATTATAGACAATTGAACAAAGTAACCATCAAGAACAAATATCCACTTCCGAGAATCGATGATTTGCTGGATCAGCTTGTGGGATCCGCAGTTTTCTCAAAGATTGACTTAAGGTCAGGGTACCACCAATTGAGAGTGAAAGCAGAGGATATACCTAAGACAGCATTTCGGACGAGATATGGGCATTATGAATTCATGGTGATGCCGTTTGGACTTACGAATGCTCCTGCGGTATTCATGGATTACATGAATAGGATCTTTCGACCCTATTTAGATAAGTTTGTAGTAGTGTTTATTGATGACATTCTTATTTATTCAAAGGATGAGGAGGCTCATGGTGAACATTTAAGAATCGTCTTGCAAGTTTTGAGGGAACATAAGCTTTATGCCAAATTAAGCAAGTGTGAATTTTGGCTCCAAGAAGTAAAGTTTTTGGGCCATGTTGTGTCCAGAGATGGAGTTGCGGTGGATCCTAGCAAGATTGATGCAGTGATGAAGTGGGAACAGCCAAAATCTGTTACAGAGATACGAAGCTTTTTAGGTCTAGCAGGTTATTATCGTCGCTTTATTAAGGGATTTTCGCAAATTGCGATGCCCTTAACTAAGCTAACTAAGAAGGATGCCCCATTTATTTGGACTGACAAATGTGAAGCTGCTTTCCAAGAATTGAAAAAGAGGTTAACCACTACTCCAGTATTGACTATTCCTGACCCTGTGGTGCCGTACACTCTGTACACTGATGCTTCTTTAAAGGGTTTAGGATGTGTTTTGATGCAAAATGACCGAGTGGTTGCCTATTCCTCCAGACAGTTGAGACCACACGAGGAAAATTACCCTACTCATGATTTGGAGTTAGCTGCAGTTGTGTTTGCTCTAAAGATATGGAGAATTATAATTTGTAAATTTGAGGGTGTTACAATATTTAAATTATAATTTTGTCAGTTTGTATGAGAAACCAGAGAAACCAATGAAAAATCAAGAAAGCAAAGAAACAAAGGGCCGACATATAAATTAATCAAAAGCTGAATAAAATATTCCACACAAGGCAACAAAATTTAGGGGCCCACAAAAACTCAAGCATCAAATTCTAAGTTACTGTAGATGAACAGTCAACTCTCGACGCTATTTACAAAGGATTAAAGATTAAAGATTTGGGTTTGGGCTTCTCATTTATAGTCTAGTTTACCATGGATGGACCATATTCCAACAGAATCAATATTTTTAATTTATTTTTTAAAACTTTTTACTAAGAATTTAACTATCATAAATTTTAACTTTTAAGATTTTGTTGTCATTCTTAATATATATATATATATATATATAATAAGCAATTCCTTATGTTGAATCTTTCAAATTTCCTGACACCTCATTCATGAATATTGTTGGTAATGTCTCATATTGAAGCTAGATACACAAATATAGAAGAATCGTGTGTATCCATTTCTTATACGTTGCACATCAACTCCCTCTAGTCTATATACTATATAAAAAAAATAAAATTGGTCCAATTTATAAGGTATTATATTAAAGGGTATGAGCAAATTATCTCTAAATTTTATGCCCAATAACACCATAGACCCTGAATTCATTTCTTATGTAAATTATTCTCTCAACTTTTAAAAATGACGTAATTTAGCTATCACTGTTAACAAAAGTTAATTTTGACTGTTAGTTAACTAAAAAATGACCTTAAAAATTATAGAAAAGGATCAAAAAAAATTTGTTTCTTCTAAAAAATATTTTTATTTTTAAAAATAAAAAATAAATATTTATCTTGAGTAAGTGTTTTATATTTAAATGTTTTAAGAAAATGTTCTATCTTTTTTTAAATGAAAACATATCTTAGAATTGTTTTGGTTTTAATTCTTTTCTTTTTAAGCACACTACACTTCCCTTAGTTCTATTTATAAGTCATTTTCAGTATTTTTACCAAAACTAAAGAAAATATTAAACCTTATTAACTCTATCTAAAAATTTAATAAGTTTTTAATTTTACCCTTATTAAATATACCTATTTAAAAAAATACTCTAACATTTAATAAACCTCCTAACATTTAATAGGGGCATAATGATAAAAGTGAACAAAATAATTATTGAGGTATCCTATAAATATGACCAAAACAAATACTCTTTGTCATAAAAATAGGACTAGAAGAGTATTTGATTATATTATTCAAAAATGCTACCAGTCATAACCAATCATTGTTATAAATCTTCACCATTAATCACTGACAACTACTACTATCAATCGATTTTTTAATCCTAAAACTATTTTTAAAATTAAAGAGATTTTTTATTTGCTCTGGAAATCAATTTTGAAAATCTGCTAACTCCATCAGTAGGGCTAACTGACTGTGAAAATCTGCCCTAACTGTCCCTTATTTTCTTTATCTCTACCTCTTTGCCTCTTCTCACAGCTATTGTCAGCTTATTACATATTTCATCATAAGATGTGATCTCATATAAGGCCAACTGTTGCCTATACTTTGGCCTCATTTTCTCAAATAATCTCTCAGCCTTCCACTTCGAGTCATCACTCCTTATGAGGTAAGTGAAGTATTTGGAAAGCTAACTGAACTTAGAAATGGAAGCCTCTTCGTCAAAGTTTCTATACTTGAACTCATGAAACTTGGCTTATTTCTTAGCTTTAAAGGCCATTGGAAAGTAGAAATCAAAGAATCTAACTTTAAACTCATCATATGTCCATTTGACTTCACCCATTGGCCTCATTGACTTCCACTAATGCTTGGCTTCCTTCACAAATAGAAGTAAAGCTAAAATTACCTTATGTTCCTTTGAGTATAGCACCACTTCAAAGATTGTTTCAATCCACTCGATCCATTCCTTAACTTCTTCTTTCATAGTCCTATCAAAAGTAGGCAGATGGAATTGTGAAAAACTCTTCTAAGCCCGATCAATAGAATTCTATGAACCATTGCCACCCATAGCCCTTGATTGCTTGGGTGTACTTTTCTCATACGCCTTATCTTCCTCCTCATACATTTCCTTTTCATTCTTAACAGTTCTATTATCCCCTCTTGCCCTTTCGTTTCTTAGTATACCTTGTCTCCACAACATGCTATGGATTTCTTACATCAAATTCCTCATTTTGAGTAGTAAGGCCTCATTATCCTATGATTCACTCCTTAGTTGCTCTATATTTCGACTAACAAGAATATGGTTCTCTGGTGGCAGTTCATTTATCTTTGATACCACATCTGTATTCAATGGATTACCACCAGTATCAGTTCTTGTGTAACCTTCCCCATATCCACTCGATATATGAGAAGATTAACTAAATCACCCCAATAAAACACCACACAGCAAATGAACACTTTGTTTGAAAAGTTTGGGCCCAAGACCCATTTTGCAAAATTATCAAAATCATAATACATTAAAGTAATACGCAACAAAGCAAGTCATATGCATTCATAACAATTACTCCATGCATTAAAAGTCATAAAATCAGGTTAGATTATAGGCCATGCATTGTGGTGTGTAATACATGCGCCATAACATGTGGCACGAAACCACAAGCCTAATTC